CTTGGCCTCCACTGAACTGGGACTCCGAGGGTGACCTCGAAGCTGAGCAGTGGCCCCTGTTTGGGACAAGGCTGGCACAGGGGTGACCCGTCCCAGGAGATGGACAGAGTCACCAGGCACTTGGTGTTCCAGCTGCCACAGGCCTCGCACCGGCACGACTCGCTGGCAGAGCTGAGGGCCAGCAGTGACGATGACCTGTTTGGCTCCACTCAACGCAGCCCCCAGAGAGTGGAGAATGGCTACAGCTGGAAGAGGAGATCCCAGTCACCCTCGTATTTCCTGGAGGGTGGAAGAGATGTCTGGACCCCGTCCCTGGACAGGGAGTCCAAGCTAGAGGTGGTGAGATCAGGAAGCCTGTACGACCTCCGGGCTTACAGGGGAGAGAGGAAGCCCTCAAAGCTCTATGATGATGAGGAGCAAGACCTGTACAGGGTCCCTCCACCCAACATCTCACCCCAGAAAGCCAGGGAGCTCGAAGAYGAGAGGAAAGAAGTCATCCGGAGCCAGGTGATGAGGAAGAGCTCCACCATCGCGGAGAGGTGGAGCTCTGTGGATGAGCTGAGCTCCATCAGCCCCGGCRTGGGCAGCCAGGGTGACAGCAGGCACTCAGGCAGTGTCCCCACCAGCTTTGCCATCTGCTTTGACAAGCCTTCCCCAGGCAGGGCTGTGACACCCGTTGACCCTGAGAACATCGACACRGAGCAGATCAACTTCTCTGCGGCTCGGCAGCAGTTCCTGATGCTGGAAAAGAGCAGCCCGGGCTCATTTTTCAGCCCAGGGCAGCAGGCCATGTCCCCAAGGCCAGAATCAGTGACAAAAATCTCCAGGGAAGAATGGTACAGCCCTGAGATGGCCACAAAAGCCACGAGAGGCTACAGCAGTGCTGGGGCATCGAGCCAGAGCAGGACAGACAAGGTTTACCAGGTTTATGGTGTGTCCTCATACAAGACACCTGAGAAAGAGGAGGTTTATCCTCCCAGAAAGGCTCACACAGAAAGGTCGTATCCCATCGGGAAGACGTCCATCCTGACCAAAGCRTGGTCCAGAGAAGACCTGGACTCTGGTTTGGGTGAGATGTACAACGAAGGCACTGCAGGCTACGCCAGCGATGGAAGCACCTCCAACGAGACCTTCCATGTGGATCTGAGRGCTGGCAGCAACGGGCTGAGAGAGAGGGAGAAGGAGACGAGGGTCAGCAACGAGACACCCATCGAGAGGGAGATCCGCATGGCCATGGAGAGGGAGGAGAACCTCTGGAAGGAGAGGGGGATCCAGCGGCTGACTTCCAGCAGCGAGCTGGTGGAGATCCAGACCAAGCCTGTCTTCAACATTCACACATCTCCCGGGCCAGGCAGGAAAGGGAAGGACAAAGGCCGCGCTTCCCTTTACGTCCAGAGGGAAATCGAGCAGGAAACSAAGCGAGAGGAAGATCTGAAGAGGCAGGGGAGGCTGCTGGGGGCKTACGACAGGGGGACGCAGCAGGAGCTGGATGAGCGCAGGAGGGTGTTCGAGCAGGAGGAAGCCCCCCAGCAGAAACCCACTCCCCTGAAGCGGGCAGAGCAGAGGAGGAGCTGGCTTAAAGAGTTTGTGGTGGAGCAGCCCTCAAGCCCCAGCCCTGCGGAAGACACCGCCAGGGGTGGGAAAAGYGTTCCCAGCTACACAGCGAGCATCGCGCACTTCCAGCTGTCCCAGCCGCGCTTCGCCGCCAGCGAGAGGAGCCGGGAGCAGCCCTGGGTGTCCCGGCACGCTTCCGCCAGCTCCAGCAAATGGGGGAGCGAGGATTCCTGCGGAGGAAAACTTCCCGGCTCCACCCCGAGCCCCGCCAGCACCGCTGTCCTGCCCAGAGAGTATTTCTCCCTCTCCTTCTGGAAGCCCAAGGTGTCCTTCGTGGACGAGCACATGGGGACRCAGCAGAGCCCGCTGTGGAGGGAGGGTGGCCGGGAGGAGCAGTACCGCCTGCGGACGTGGAAGCCGCAGACATCGGCGCTGATCGAGGAGGAGATCAGGAGTGAYCTGCAGAGGGAAGAGGAGCTGCAGGAGCAGCGGCGGCGGCTGCGGCTGGTGGACACCAACGGCGATGGCGTTGCCCAGGAGGGCTCCCGCTCTCGGCACAGCTCTGGTAAGGGAGCAGAGGGACAGAGCGATGATTTGGTGGGGTGACTGTAAGGGCTCTTGTGCGCTGGTAGCAAGCTGTCCTGGGAGAACTTGATACCCACACGCTGGAGTCAGCAGAAGTGCTGCTGAGGAGGGAGAGGCTCTGCAGGATTCCAGAGCTGCTCAGGTCTCAAAGATGACTTTGTGTCACGTTACAGCAGCAAACAGGGCTGGAAAGGCCCAGAAGGGCCCAGCTCATGCATTTTTTCCCCTGATCCCTGCAGTYCCTGGCTGGGGCCCAGGCACAGGGGCCCAGCAGTGACCAAACCTGCTGGACCTGCCACAGAGGCAGTTTTGGGGCAGGGGACTGACACTCCTGTGGGTCCCCACCCCCTGTGAGTGGTTCTGAAGTCCCTTACCCTGACACTCCTTCTCTCCAAGCTGCCTCAGGTGCCAGCGGCAACTACTCGGTGTCCGGCTCTCCTGCCTCCTCTCCTGCCTCACACCAGACAGGGATCCTGACGCTGATATCATCCTTCACCCCACTGAGAGTGACCAGCTCCTCCCCGGGCAGCGCAGACACCCTCACCCCCGACTCATCGCGTTCCAGCCCCTTTGAGGAGCGCAGGAGGAGGGTGAAGGAGGACGGAAAGGTGAAYGTGCCCACCCTGCTTGTGCCAGGTGGTTGGGGGGCTGGCACCAGGGAGAAGATTGGTGGTTCTGGGGTGAGAAATGGCTGTTCCTGACTCCCACCTGGAGCTGGGGATCCAGCTGCCCGGCTCGGTGGGACACCCAGCGGTGGTGGCACCATCGAGGGGCCATGTGAAGTGGCACTGTCCGGGTGGCACCTCCAGGCTGCCAGCACTGGGTGGGACCAGAGAGGAACAGCACCTTCCTCCTGTGGGGGATCCTGGCCTCAACTGTCCCCCCAACCCCAGGGAGGGCATGACTGCACAAGCTGCCTTCCCTTGACTCTCTGTGCCCTGCCAGGGGCCAGATCCAGCCGCCTCTGGATGTTCCCCTGCCAGGCTGCCGTTATCTAATCGTGTTTTCCTCTTTCCACAGTACGCAGGCATTGAACCCGTTGACAAGGTCAACACAGAGGTAAAGCCCTGCACGAATGCGGGGGCTCTGCTCATGCTGCCCCGACAGCTCCCGCATTCCTCAGCTCCCCTCACTCCTGGAGGCTYGKGGGGTGGACAGGGGTGGACAGGATGGTCCCAATTACCACAGGGCACCGCTTGGGTGGACATTGCGTTGGGCAGAGCGGGTTGGGGAGGTGGGGGCGGGGGTCAGCTCTGCAAATCAGATCATTAGGAAAGTCTCTTCTTTATAAAATCCTGCACGTTCTGGTCTCTGCAGGTGGTGGAAAGCACCCGAGTGTTTCGGCACAAGAGCGTCATGGCCCAGCGCTGGGAGGCCGGGCAGTACGTGCGGGATGAGGACTGAGGGACCCCTGCCTCGGGGGCTCRCCCCGTTCAGGATCAGCTCATGTGTGACCTAAATACTCGATCAGTTCCACCCTTGGCCRTCGCAACAATCGGAGACGTGTACTCTGCAAATCAGTCTGGTTTATTGTTAAACTGATAATCCTTCCATGCAATAGATCTGCTCCTTCCTCCTCCTCCTCCCTGTGGGGTGGAGGAACACTTTTTTTTTTCTTAAGACGGGGAAAAATTGGATCAGTATCTTTTTAATCACTTCCGCCTGGAGCCAGCCAGGTGAAATCACCCGGTAATTCACTTTGCCCCTTGGGAGCTGTGTCTCAGGCTTACAAAAAAGCTGTTTTATTTCTCAGTGGTTTTAGGTTTTTAAGTACCACGAGGCTGARCATTGCCCTGGGGGTACCTGGACCGAAGCCTCTGGATAAGCGTTGCCATGGGACTTGGGAATCAACATTGGTTTAACTCCTGTGATCCACGGAGATGCAGCAATGGAATATAAATATATATATATATATAAATGCTGTTTATTTTGCTAATTTATTAAAGAGTTGTTGCTTTCCCTCGGTGTTCCTGCTCTGTCTGGTTTTGCTGGTGTTTTAAAAGAGCTGGGCTGGGGCTGGAACCTGCTGGGGGGGTCCCAAAGGCTGCTGGGCTGGGGAAGTGCTGGGGTCCCACCGGGGGTCTGGGAACACCCTGGGCCAGTGGAAGGAGTCCCTGCTCGGGGCGGGGGTGGCACCGGGTGGGCTTCAAAGCCCCGTTCGACCCCAAGCGCGCTGCGGTCCGTGCCCGTCCGCCCGGCCCCGCTAGAGGGCTCCCGGGCAGCGCCCGCGGGACCCGGTACGGACCCGGTACGGACCCGGTACGGACCCACCGGGACCCCGGTACCGACCCTGCTCTGCGCTGCCGACCCGCTGAGACCCCGGTACCGACCCCTCTGAGACCCCGACCACAATCCGTGAGCGCTGCCGCGGTTCCCGGTGCGGACCGGGGAGGTGCCCAGGTTCTGTGACAGATCGCACGGGGCTGATGGCGCAGTTTTGTCCCTCGTTGCCGAGATTTGGGCGTGGGTCGAACGGACCAGCGAGAGGGAGGGAAGAACCCGACCGGGGGTGGTTTCGGGACTGAGGGAAACCCGGTCCCTCGGGACAGCTGCTCAGTCGTGGTGTCGTGGCAATGCTCAGCAGCACGAGAGGAGCCGGGAGATGCCACCCAGCACTTGAGTTTGTCTTTTTTATGTCTCTTCAAACGTACTTAAGATAMTTGTTGATGTTAAATTTCTTTAATGGGATCGATTTTGGCAAAAAGCCTGACCCCCAAAGCTTTGTTTGACACCATGGAGATGGCTCATAGGGTTTGAAAGGGCCCAGAGCTCTGTGCCACCAGGCTGGGAGCAGGGGAGACTGAGCACAACAGGGAACACATTAGTGTTCCAGGAAAGTATCACCTGCTGTTCAGACGCAGACAAACAGGACTGAATTAAAAGTTTTTTTTTTTTTATTTGGCTCTGTCAAAAATACAACCAAAAACCTGACTGAGCTGTAACAGGCACTAAATAGCACTGGGGCAGCTGAGCACATCTCCCAGCACCTTTGTGGAGTTGTGTTTTGCACTCCAGGGAAACCACTTACCATAAAACCTTTCAACATTGTCAGGCACTTTCAGTAACTTCTTAAAACAGCTACAATTTTTTCAATCTATCAATTTTTCCCGAAGGGAAATGACCTGAACCTTCTCAGAAGCATTCCCATGAGGTTGGGATCGGCACTGTTATCACTCTCCTCACGTCGCTCATCCTTCCCCGCAGGTCTGTGCCCCAGGCTGAGCTGTGTGGGGTGTCAGCCCCAAAATGTGGGTGCAGCTGATGCTCCTAGCCAGGCTGTGCCACCCCTGAGCCCTCTCCGTATCAGCACTGGTCTTTCCTCATGGCATTGACYGTGTGGTAGAACATTAACTTCTTTGGCAAATGTGAAACTGAAGATTCTCATYAACTCAGTGAATTATCAATTCCAGTAACAGAAACAACAACAGACTGAACTTCCCTGAAAGCCAGGGTGCTGCAGAGCTGTAGGTACCTTCAGTGGCAAGGTGAAGCCCAGCAGAAGGATGTTCATTCTCAACCTACACCAAATACTGCGACAGGATTCTGTTCCAGAGCAGCCTTGGAGCAGCTTAAAGGGTAAAGCCGACAAGACACCTCTATTTCCTTTTCTTTACAACCTCTCTGACTTCCTGGGCAATAGCTTTCAAGATCTTATCCATTTTGGTTTTTGCCAGTGCCTTCCTGCTGTACCACACCTTGTCCCAGATGGAGCACAGTGCCTTGGGAGACAGGTAAAGAGGGTGGTTGTCATTCAGCATGTCTGGYGGCCTCTTCCTGGCATACTCCTTGTAACTGGCAACTGGACAGTTCTCTGGATCCTCAGGCTTGGCTAAGAGYCGTGGGCTCAGCTCCCCTTCGTTTCCCTCCGGGCTCAGATTGTCCTTCCACTCCAARTACTCCACCTCTCCGTTGGTCTTCCTCAGCACCAGCTGTCCCCAGTACAGCTGGGGGTTCTGCATGTGGGTGCTTGCCCCAAACCCCCTAATGAGGTTGGTGAACATGAGGTGCAGCAARCCCTGAGGGTGCATCTTGCTTAAAATGCCTTTCTTAAGAAGGTTTTCCACATCTTCATCTGTCATTTTCTCCACCACAGTCCACTCTTCCTCCCTCTCCTTTTGGAACAGGTACCGATGCTTTGATTTCCAGACTTCCTGAGAGGCTCTGAACTCTGGCCCTTTCAACATGCTGTACTGGTAGCTGTGCTTCTTGAGATATAGGTCGATGTTGCGCCGGGAGAAGTATAAAGAATTGGAAGAAAAATCATTGCCATTCTGTTTCTTGGCAGAGCTGAAGAATGAGACCAGGTAGCGGTCGAGGTCTGCGGGAGGCAGCAGGTGGATCTTGCGTGTCTCCGAGGGGTGGTGCAACTTCAACCACGCTTTGAACATGTTTATGTCCCCAGTGTTACAGCTTTTCTTTTTCTGCTTCTTCGGYACATCTAAAAGACAAGACACAGCTTTGTGGACAGCAACAAAGATTGGTAAAACACAAGGAGGTGCAGGATGGTGTCCACCTGCCTTCTGAAAGMCATTCAGAGAGGAAAGGACTCTCCCAAACACCTTCCCCTAAAGCTGTAGTTCAGATCTGTGCTCTCCACGAGCCAGCACCACCCAGCAGTGCCCACCTCTCCAGGGAAAGTCAGGCTCCTTCCTGCTCCCTCTCCCTTGGCAGCTGGCCCTGCTCATTGTCAGACAGGGAAATTTCCCTCTCGCTGTGAAATAACCACAGCSTGAACCAAAGGTTGGGGTGGATGGTGAGGGAGAACAGGTGAGGAAAAGTATACTATGATTTTGTTTAAAGGATTGCCAAGATTCCAGTTGGGCTCTCTCTCAAGTTGCCATGGCAATACYACATCTACCTAGCTCAATGTAGCATGAGAAATGAATTCTTTGGATTGCTGGAAAGCTCCATCTGCTCGCCTGTGACTCGTCCAGGGCTGAGGAGGGGGAGATGGAAAAGGGTTCATGAGCCAACACCTAAAGATTCCCCTTTTTGCACCAGGTCCTTTTGTACAGGCTCAGCTGTCATCCTGAAAGATTGGTCCCTGTCCCACTGGTTTGGGGTTTTGGCCTGTTTTGTACTGACTGCTCTGGGTGCAGAGAGGAACAGCTCATGAATCAGTAATGCTGAGGCCTCCTCTGAGCCATGAGCCAGTTACCTTGGCAGAAATGGCCACTACACAGACATTCCCAGAAGAATTCCCAGTCCCTTCAGATGACACATGATGTCAGTTATGAAAATAGTAAAACACTGCTCCCAAACCCCAACTGTGGCAGTTTGTGTGGTTATGGCTCCACAAGGAACAACAACCCCCAAGCCTTTTCAGGACCAGCACTGATGCTGTAAACACATCCCAAGCAGACCCCAAATGCAGCCTCAGCAATTTCTGCCCTTCCCAAGGATTCTACCCACTCTGCTGCATGATAGCACATATGAAAATCTTCATTCTTTAAAGGCTCTAAAGCAATGTGTGAGTCCTGCATTTTCCATGCAGGACTGACACTCTGCTGCCACTGCCAGTGCTGGGAGGTTTTGCCTCTGGCTTTAGTGCAGCCAGAGTTTTGGTCACAATTTCTCTGCATTACCTCCTCTTGTTTCTTTCTCTCGAGACCTGAGKTCCCCTCTCTGGCTCCAGTTCCCACAGGGACTGTCTCAAGTACAGCCAACACACTGTGTGGAGATACAGGGTAAAATGGTAAAATGGAAGAGCAAAGTATTCAATCTGGGATATTGGAGCTGGGGCACAGCCAAGAACATCTTTGGGTACCTCAGAGAAGGGCATTCCCTACAAAAGTACCAATTCCTTCAGGCAGGGAGCTTTGTAGSCCCCTTGAGCAGAAACAGGAGTGCCCCAAATCCAAATCCACAAATCTTGGCAGTGATGTGAACTCACCCTCCTTGGATATTTTGGGAAAGTGATTAATAGAACACCCCCGCACCCCCGCAGGCACAGAACTCCAGGCTGTCTTACCTCTGTTTGAGGCTGCAGGTGCATGGCTCTCTGGATTCTGGGTGGCTGAAGAACAAGGTGTCTGCCCAGATCCCAATGTCTTGCTGTTCTCACCCACGTTCTCAGCACTRTCCCCGCTGCAGACCCTTCCCAGTGTCCCACACTCTGAAGGGCTCAGCTGGAGATGCTGCTGAACATCAGCAGTGGCTTGGAACTCAAAGAATGTCACCAAGGGCTGTGACTCAGGCTGGGCCCCRGCTTCAGTGCAGGGGACAGGAAGGGGTTTGAGTTGTACCTTTGGTGCTGCTGACMCCGGGGGACTCCTTTGTCTGGAAGTTTCAGCCATGGGCCCTGCAGCAGTGAAAGGAGCCAGCCTCAGGATGTTCCTGCTTGGGTCTTCGGGGTCGCTGACAGGAGCCTGCAGAATGTAGGCACGGTTTACRGATGGCCTTGMCGTGGGAGAAAAGGCAGCTCTTTGKGGGGGCGTTGGCTGGTGCAACGCCATCTTCTCGCAGTGGAGTATCTGCAAATCCTCAGCAGATGGCTCTGTTTGGACTCTACCAGGCATTGACAAGTGTTGCTCTGCTGCAGAGTATGACATTAARGGTTTCCCAGTATTCTGACTCCCCCTGGACTCGTCGTCATTCCTTGTGCAGGCACCGTCATCGTTCTGCTCGGTGACCCCATTGGATCTGTCACATGATCCTGTGCTCCCAGAATCTCCCTGACCCATCTCCAAAGATGATGGGGACAGCTTGAGTTTCTTTTCCTCAAAGCTGGCTTCCCCTACCAAGGACTCAGAAGACAGGAGCCTCTTTCTCCTTCCTACAGCTTCAGGGTCTTCTTTTTTGGTGTCATGGACCTTCCCACAGCGCCAGTGATAGGCATGCCCATCTCTGCACATCCACAGCACAGCGTTGTCATTGCTCAGGTGATCTGTGTTTTGCATAAATTCCAGGGCTGGGATCTGGTCGCAGATGGTACCGTGAGTGTGTGCCCAGATGACAAGRTTGGCGAGATCCTCCTGAAGGGAGCCAGCACTGCTGGACCCTGCATCACTGATGCTCTCGTTCTGTGAAGGTGTTGGGAGAGAATGTAAGTGAGAGAGGATGTCCTGGCACTGTTTCTGTCCCTCCCCAACAGTGCAATAATTGTAGACCGGTAATTTCATCTCATGACTTTTWAAAAATCCATTTGCTCATTCTTTCTGTCTGTGCTATCATTTATGCCACAACAGAACACTCACCATGCTGCTGCTTGCTTTCTGTCTCACTGAACCTTCTCTCAGGTGGACACCAGTGACTCTTTGAATGGCCTTTCCCTCTCAGAACCTGAAATGATCACACATGTGTGTACTATATAACATGGATGTGTGTGTATATATATATATATATATATTTATACCTATAAAAACCTGGCCAGAAGATGCAACTGAATTTCTCCATGCTCAGCCCACTAAAGGCCTGTGCCCTCCCTGGGCTGAGCTCCCACTGTGCTCCCAGGAACTTTACACACAAAACCTGACTGGGGTAAATATTTGCAGGATCAGCCTCTGCAGCACCAACCAAACGGAAACTAAATATAAACACTGAAAATAGAATTTTACAAACTGAACTCTGCAAGCCATTCCTTCAGCACTCTGTGGTTGGCAAGCTCTGTGTCTCCAAGTGCTGAGCTGCAGAGAGAGAACCAGGAATAGTGAGTTCAGCCTGACATTCTCTGACTTTGCAAACAGTAACAAGAGGCAGTTTCCCAAATGAAGGACTTGCACAAGCAACTCGTATTTATATTAGAGACTAAATTTGAAGCTCTCCCMTCTGTTTGGAAGTCATCCCTGTGGAAAGTGTAATGTGCCCTCAGCACCATGGCAGCCTGTGGGAGCCATTGCCGACACTGTGCACTTGCACCTTGGTCCAGGATTAATTAAAATATTTGCAATTAGTGGTGGTAAAAGAAGCAAAAAAACGCTGGACATGGGGACCTTGTCTAAAGTTCTTTGAGTAATTTTTTTGAGCAATCTGGCCTAAATGTAACCCAGCTCTTGGGGAAAACAGGCCCTGGCTGGTGGTCAGTGAGAATGTGCTGACCTGAGAACACACCTGAGCACACACTGTGCAGGTACAGGAGCTCCAGCCCCGGGGCTCCTGCTCTCCCAGCGAGCTGGGGAACACAGGAGAAGCCCATCCCAGCTCTAGGGCTGCTCTGTAATCCCCAAACACTGTGTTTGTCTGGGAGATTTATCTCAGGACTGTGGAAGTTAGGCTGAGGGTAAAACCAGCAGCACAGGGACAGGGATGGCTGTGCCACAGGAGTGCTGTCCCTGGGCAGAAGCTGTGCCCAGTGCCCTCAGTGCCCACCCAGCACCAGCCCAAAACAGCAAATCTCATGTCCCAAAGAGTAGGTCACACCTCCTGCAGGTGCCAACTGACAGGAATTACCAAGAGCTGCTCCCTTTAGGGTGAGCCTGCAGCCCAACAGCACAGCTGCCTTCTTGAAGCACTTGGGCTCCATCAATCCATATGTTCCTTCCTAATGATAGCACAGATAATTTTAGCCCRAATGCTTGGCTGTTGCATGTGCCAGCGTGTGGAATATGCAAAGGCAGGATTTACTGAGAATTTTGTACCAAAATCTGCTGCTGCTTTAACAAAAAAAATCAGACAATAAGAGCCTTTTTGGAAGCAGCAAATGCAATTTGAGCTCCTGATGTTAATCAAGGCCTTGTATGGGATCTACTGTTSCCGTGAGCTCACTCCTGATGAATCCCAGCAAACTGGGTGGGGAGTCACCTCCAGTGGCCATTTCAGCTGTCCTGACCCCTCACACAAAACAGGYTCTCCCCAGAGGTGTTTGACCTGTTCCCACCTCCCCAGGCCATGGAGCTCACAGCCTGCTCCTGCTGAGCCCCTAAAAGCTGAATATAAACTTGGGGGAGAACCATTTTCCCTCCTAAAGTAAAAGAGAGTTTTATCTTTCAGTTCAGCCCTGAAAGGGCTCACACAGACTCAAAGGAACTTTCATGCCAACAATCTGGTGCCTTCAGTCAGTGTGGGAAAAGGTAACAGGAACGGAAGCTCCGCATGGTCTGTAAGGCCACAAAATTACTGACTTGGCAGATGAACATCTTGATCCCTATCACAGGCCTCTGCAAATGGAATGCTTTTATCTTTCCTTATCTCCAGGCACATGTCTTCCTCTTCCTGACCTCTTGGAAAAAGAAAAAAACAAAACTTTTTTTTTTCTCTTGCTATTTAGCTTCCAGCAMAGTCTCTGGTGCTCAGCTACAGATGCTTCAGTCTGCTGTGGCCTTCAAACTTCCAGCAACTGAGATTTCCCCAAAGGAATGGCAAGTGGAATCAGTCTGACTGATTCACAGTCACAGCTGAGTGCGAAAAATGACCACTGTCCTTCTCCCAAAGGCTGAWATGGTGTATGTTTATTCCCTTTAAACAATAAAAAAATCCATCTTGATCACTGCCACAGTTTTTACCTGCTTCCAACAACCCTGGGATTGCTGTGGGGAGAGGTCTCAGTTTGGATTTGGGGCTGAGGTTTGTTTTGGAGCCTCGTGCCTGATTCAGTGTCTGTGTGSCTGGGAGTGATGTTGTGGGTTAATCCTCTTTCCAGGAGAGGTTCCCATCTGATAASGGACACTGTGTGCAGGACCCACACCTTTCTGCAGGAAAACAGGACATTCCAGAGCTGTACAGTATAGGATTTAATTATTTTTTTAACCCACAGAGAATTCAGTCTACTGCTAAAACCTGTAGTTAGGAGAAATCAGGCTCACTCATGGGAAAAAAAAAAAAAAAAGAAGTGTTTTGGGTTTTCTTAAAGTCTCCAAGATTTGGCTTTCTCAGGCCCTGCTCCACACAGCTTTCCAGTGGTGTGGGTGCCCATTTTATATCTGCATTCCAGAAAATGTGTCCAACTAAGGTCACACGAGTCTCCAGCACTTCAGGGGAGACTAAACTTCAGGGCTGACTAAAACATGGAAATYCTTTTCTCTGTTTTAAGACTTTATGTGTGTACTGAGTCCTTTAAGGGGGRAAAAGCGTTCTCAGCACTTTCTGAGATTGATCCTCCTGTGAGCTCTGTCACACACCTGAGAATGTCACCCCTGGSATATTCTTCTCTCCCCCTCCCAGGTGTGCTGAGGGCCTGAACCCATAAATCAGACACAGCCTTGTGCAAACAGGAGCACTACATAAAGACACTAATTTTGAGGCACTAAAAGCCCTTTGCCCCCTCTGTCCTTGTCCCATTGCCCTGTGACAGCCCTGGCTGGYTCCTCTCACGGGCTCCAACGCCTGTTTTGCACATTAAAACCCGGTACACACACGGAGCCAGAGAATTGAGAGCGCTGCCTTCCCTGCCCCAGATAAGACAGTGCAGGAAACTGCAACAATCCTGCTAGGAAAAACAACAGGATACAGAACAGCAGCRTTTGACTCCTGCCCCCTTCCCTGCTCCCTTGGGAAACCCTCCCTGCACATGGGGGGACCTGGGACAGCYTCCACATGCCAGGGCATTGCCAGAGCATTGCCAGGGCCATGGCAGGGCAGGAAGGTAACACTCGAACACATCTGGCTGCAGCGTGGGAGCTGAGTGGAGCAGCTGCAGCTCACGGCTGCCAGAAATCACAGAGCTTGTCTCACCCTCCTTAGCAAGAGCCTGGGGGGGTGGATCCACCATTTCCCTGCACATCGGTTTTTCCTGTTCTCTGCGATGTTTGTTTCCCTCCTCATCTGCCCCGTACGAGAATCTTCTGARCACCTCTTCAGCTCTCTTCCTGCTTCCCCACGTCCTTCCACCAGCCCCTCCTGCCTTGCTTCCAGAAATACAATTCCCAGGATACATCCTGTACTTGCCACAGGGCACCGTGCCTCCATTTTGAGAGATGCTCCCAGAAAATCCCACCCGCGTGTCTGYGGAGGGCAGGACCTGACTGCTCCAAGTGGGAGACAGACCCTGCTGGCAAACGCTGCCCTCCAGCACCACATTCCTTAAACAARAGCTTTTTTGTTCAAACACTCAGACACCACTTTTTTCCCTGAGTTCTAATTATCTCTGCTCCCGAGGGGCTGCGTTCCGGAGCCACTGGCCTGGGACTGTGACTGTGAGCACTAAATCAAGGCCTCTGAAAAGTGCTAATAAAAGCCACGGGCAGTTGGCACAACACTGCCCGGGCCACCAAAAAGGGATCAGCCACCAAAACAGCCTGAGTGAAGGAAAAAATTCGTTGGAAACCATCAACTTCTATAAATAGGAGCTCATGTTGTATTCCCGAGGAGGAAATTGGAAAGCTGAAATCAGCGATGGGCACATCTGTGACCTGGCCAGGAAACGCCACCGTGTCACTGTCACGGTGTCAGGGTGGAATCTGGGGGCACCTCACACTTGTGCCAGTGCCTTGGGGACATCTGGCTGGACTGTCCCCACRATTCCACGTGCAGTGACAGATAAGAACAGAGACACAGCCCAGCTGTGAGGATTGACTGTGTCCCCACTCCTGTTGGTGTGACAGCAAATGTCCCCTCGCCCTGAGCACGAGCTGCCCGTGCTTCACTCGCTGCTCTCGGGGTTTGTCACCAAGTACCGGGCACGGGGTAACACCGGAACCTCCCGCTGCACGAGCACCTTTGATCCTCCCGGTTCTGCCGCGTTTGAGCGCGCCGGGCTCCGGAATAACCCCGGAACGACGTGGAATAGAAACCCTTTTGTTCCTGCTCCCCGCACAGGGGGAGCTCGGCCCCGGTACCGGCAGGGGGAGCTCGGCTCCGGTACCGGCAGAGGGAGATCGGCTCCGGTACCGGCGGAGGACGCTCGGTCCCCGGTACCGGCAGGGGGAGCTCGGCTCCGGTACCGGCGGAGGGCGCTCGGTCCCCGGTACCGGCAGGGGGAGCTCGGCTCCAGTACCGGCGGAGGGCGTTCAGCTCCGGTACCGGCAGAGGGAGCTCGGCTCCGGTACCGGCGGAGAGCGCTCGGCTCCGGTACCGGCAGGGGGAGCTCGGCTCCGGTACCGGCGGAGGAGCTCGGCTCCGGTACCGGCAGAGGGCGCACGGCTCCGGTACCGGCGGAAGGCGCTCGGCTCCGGTACCGGCAGGGGGAGCTCGGCTCCGGTACCGGCGGAGGGAGCTCGGTCCCCGGTACCGGCGGAGGGAGCTCGGCCCCCGGTACCGGCGGAGGGCGTTCAGCTCCGGTACCGGCAGAGGGAGCTCGGCTCCGGTACCGGCGGAGAGCGCTCGGCTCCGGTACCGGCAGGGGGAGCTCGGCTCCGGTACCGGCGGAGGGCGCTCGGCTCCGGTACCGGCAGGGGGAGCTCGGCTCCGGTACCGGCGGAAGGCGCTCGGCTCCGGTACCGGCAGGGGGAGCTCGGCTCCGGTACCGGCGGAGGGAGCTCGGTCCCCGGTACCGGCGGAGGGAGCTCGGCTCCGGTACCGGCAGGGGGAGCTCGGCTCCGGTACCGGCGGAGGGCGCTCGGCTCCGGTATCGGCAGGGGGAGCTCGGTCCCCGGTGCTCGCCCCGGTCCCGCCGGTCCCCCCGTGTCCTGCCTGGAACTGGTGTGGGAGAACGGAGACCCCGGGATGGGCTGGGCTCGGTCCGTGCTGCCCCGCCGGTGCCAAACAGACAAAGCGAACAGTTGGTGCTGGCGAGGGGAGGGCGTAAATCTTGTTTGATTTAATTGACAGGGCGTTTATTGCCCTTTTTTACATTTCTGAGCAGTCTTTTAAAGATTAACTAAAGTCATCCAGTGCAATCAGATGTTTCTTCAGCCATCTGCTAAACGGAACCGACCCAACCCCACCCACCAGTGCTGGGAACAGGACACAGCACCCARCGTTTCACTCTCATTTTGGGACCAGGCTCTCTCTGAACTAAACCAGACCCTCTCCCCTGTYTTCCCACCTGCCCACAAAACAGATCTCACGTGTTCCCTTAGCACACTGGCTAGAGCGTGGCAGCTATTTGTTATTAAAYAGTATTTGTGGGTGAATCTGTGACGTGTAATTAGATTAATTGCTCACAATGGGACATAGTAACCTACTTCGTTTACAATACAGACCATCTTTAGCGATTGACACCTCAGGACTGTCCCACCCGTCTGAAGCCCCCAAAACTGAGGTGACTCCACCTGGGGGTGCAGGGCTCAGTCTCACCAGCACCAGCCAAATGCTCACGCTCTCTTCTGCACCCCAGATGTTTACCAAGGCTTTTCTGGGATGGGATGGGATGGGATGGGAGATGGTTCCCAGAGGCAGGAAAAACCACTTTGGTGGTAACAAAGTAACCTGGCAGGTGAGGGGAAGATGCCAAAATGTGGGATGTTCCCTGCTGGGTCTCTGGCATGAGGAGAACAGAGGGAACCCCAAGTTCTTGTCCATCACAAAACATCTCCCCAGGCAGCACCCCAGGGTTTTGGCCACAGAAATGCATTGGTTTTATGCTCTCTGGTGATGCCATGGGACATCTGGGAGACTTGCAGGCTCCCTCCCACCTTTGGAGCCTTGGCTCCTGCTCCATTTTGTACTCTGGCCTTGTTTTGACATGCCACAGTCTCCCTTACCCACTCCAAGGTCAGGCAGGCAGCCTCCCACGGAGCACAGCCCTGCCCAAGGACAGGATCTCATCCAGGGCACAGGGCAGCCTAGGAGAGAGGAGAGAGAAGTGTTAGTTAGGAAAGGGAACTCAAAGCAACCTGCCAAWCCCTTGGGTGGGATAGAACAATGAGCAAAGCCCTCTTCCCTGAGAGCCCTTGAGCTTTGTTGGGCTCTGAGCGGTGGGGCAGCAGCCCGGGCAGGCAGAATCTGGAGCTGCTCCCCATTGCTGAGAGCTTTAGGGATGAAAACCTGGCAACTGCCCCTTGGGAGGGRCAACAAGCCCAGCTCTGGCACACCCAACTGATCCTTTGGACAAGAAACACAGTCTGGCGTTGGATCTGGGAGAGCTGCAAACATCACACCCTGCCCAGAGCSTGAGGAGGAGCAAACCAGCAACTCTACTTGACATATTCCAGAGAAACCAGAGCCAATGGGTGGTTTGGATCTGGAGTTCTCAGCTGAAACTGCCCCTGAGGGAAGGATTCTGAGAACTGACTTATACCTGCTGCAGAAGGAACCTGCCATCTCGCAATACGGAATGAAGTATTTTCTCAATAAATATAGTACTTTATTTTTTTTTTTTTGAGCTCTGACCTTAAAGCAAGAAAATGTAGCTCCTCTGGATRGAATTTAGCTCCACAGGGAGTGTGKGAGCTCATGGAAAYGCTCYTCTGGATGCAGGTGAAAGCAGCACCTGCACAGGAGGGAGCCAGGAATGATGCATCCCCAATTTCCAGACCTGCTGCCTGGCAGTGGGAGACTCTTGCAGGCCGTGGTGATGCTGGTTTTACCCAAAACCAGGAATTCAGTGCTGTGGCATGGGGAGAGCAGGGAGCTGCACATGAACTGATGGTTCTACACACAAGGAGCCCCTGTGACTGTGTTTTGGGGATGCTGGGTGCCCACAGGGACGGGCTCCTGTCATCATCCACCACACTCACTGCCCTGGTATCAGAGAGCTCGCCAATTAAATATTAAAACTTCTAAAGGATATTGGATTTCTTTTGTTCCTTTGGCTTCCTCCTGTTCTCAGTTCTCCCTGACTTCACATGCTGCATGTTGCTGCCTTCATGTTCTTTTAATGCTTAATTTCATACTCCAGTCCCTGTCTGTTACAGGGACTCTGTGCTGTACAATCCAGACCAGCAGACAGAATTTAGAGGCAGGTTCCAACGAGCAAAACTTTATATCAATGTTTGAGGCACGAACTATTTCAGTCTGACAGTTCCTCACCCAGTCTACAATCAAACCACCAATTCCAGGTTTCTGCACATAAGCCATCGTGTGTCTTCATACACTTCCACCCACTTTGATCTGGAGCACTCTGGGTTTGAGTCTGGAATCAGAACGTGAGATCCCTGAACACTTTCACCATCTGAAGCATGAACAAACCTTCACACCACGAAAGCAAAAGCTCCTCAGCTGTAGAGCAAGGCTTCCCTGAGCTGTTCCAATGCACAACATCCTTCAGGAACATATGGGCTGGCAACCACGAGATGCCCACAGCATAACTACAGCACTGACAAACCAATTGAGCCTCAGCAGCTGCCACTGGGGAGGTTTCATTCATCCCCAGCACTGCCTTTTAAACTTAAGTGCCACTGGAACAAACACATCTTTGATCCAAGAAGGAAATAATTTGGAGCTTTGTGTTTAATAGAGCTGCAGCCCTGGGGAAATGATGTCGTTCTTGGCCAGGATGACAATGGGGCTCACGGCAGGCACAGAGCACGGTTGTCCCTGTCCTCTCTGAGCCGCCTGTGTTTGGACATCTTTGTTCTTGACTCAGTGTGGAAACAAGGAGCTGGACTCAGCTGTGCTGCCGCAGCTCCTGAGTCACCACATGTGGCACCAAAACACAGAATTTGGCGGAGGGAGCAGCAGGATTTGGGCAATCCCTCCAGTCCTCTTGCTCTTGAGTTTCTTGTGTCCCCCTCAGCTCCAGGGGAGCCACAGCACAGATTAGAGGGGTGCAGACACAAACACGGATGAACACATGGACGTTACCAGGCTGTGTTATCTGTGTGCTTCCATGTGTTTTGTGGGGCACACTGAGCTGTGTTATCCGTGTGCATGGGACACACACACACATACACACACACACACACCCCCTTTATGCTGTGCACATCTCTTCAAATGTTGCTGCAATTTCTACCAGTAAAATCCTGTGCTCAGAGCAGGGAGCGAGCAGCAAGCAGGCTCTGCTCCTGAGRGAGCATCCCTGGCTGCTCTGCAGGTGCCTATCTCTCTGTCAGGGMCCTTTCTCATTTAAATGTGCTCAGACTGTGACATTGCCCTGTCTGGAGTCATCTGGCATCTGTGCCATATCCATTCAAATGGCAGATGCAACAGGAGACACCTGTAGACAGAGGGGCTGAGCTAAGGTTTCAGGAACAATCCCTGAGCCCGGCAGGTGAGCGATGGAGATGCTGCAGCAATAATGCATGAGCTGCACCTGCCTCCCCTCGGCCCTGTGGCACTGCTCATCTGGGAGCTGCTGTTCCAGTTCCCTCTGAGCTCCACCGCACTGCTGAGAGAACCAGAACAGTGCAGCGACCCAGTAACAGACTGGGAACACCAGGTGATGGTGTGCTGGGAAAGCAGAAGGTACTGGGGGCTGAGTACTCTCAAAATCCTGCAGAGCCCCCACATTCCAGCTCTAGAAATTGTTGCTGAGGCAGTGAGCCCCCTCGAGAGGCTGATAAAACACTATCCTTAGAGGGTCACAAACTCAAAYCATTTTAAGGAAGTGAAGGAGCTTCCCAGGCTGTTGCTGGGCACAGGAAAGTGATAGAACAGTGCTCAGCTTTCTCTGCAAACAAACCCCTGACTAAAGCAAGAAGGAAATGCAGAGYTGGAGCTACAGACAGACCAGAAATGGTGTTTACTTCCCTGCCCTGGGATAGCRGGAGATGTGCTTGGAAAGAGGGTTGTTTGTATAAATAAATGTTCATTCTTGGCAGTGGAATGCAAACTATGCTGAGGGGCTGGAACCAGGCACTCGGAAAAGCTGAGGCCAGAGCAAGGGAGAGACTGAGTGAGGCTGCAAAAAGGAAATTCACATTCATTTTTAGCAACTTGGGAGAGGTTCTCAAGCCTGTTTGACATTTTTAATTATGCTGATGCAGGGCCTGTTTCAAGGACAAAGAAAGTCAGGATTGCAGGTTAAACAATTAGGAAATTTCACACCAGCCAGTGAGGAGCAGTGCTGCCTGGGGGTCTGGAGACTCYCTGAAACACGGGATCATCTTTCAGCCTTTCTAGACAGACGGAATTTGAATGTCTTGCAGAATCCTCGCCCAGGTCAGGAACTCAGAGCATGGCCCTGCAAACCTCTCTTGATGGTATTTTCTGAGAGCACACAGCAGGCAGGAAAGATGAGCCTGAGCCGCTGCTCTTTGTCCAGGCTTCTCCTGCAAGGTTTCTGCAAGTGCAGAAAATGATCCTGCAATGCGACATCGACTGTGTCAGATTCTGTAAGTTCACAGTGGGAAACGCTGCTATTTCTCGTGGAGAGAGCTCAGCTCGACGGTTTCATATCACAGAGTCAGGGCCTGTCTGTTTTCCATGCTCAGAAAGTGYTGCATCATGACCTCAGGGTCTTACTTTCCACGTGTATCCGTGGAAAAGAGCTTTAGCTGCTTGCTCACCCACTGTCCTTTCTGAACAATTTGCAAGGACCTGTCCCTACATTTTGGTTTGGGTGTTAGAGTCCACAGCTGTGGCACTGGAAAGGCAGAGGCAGCCAGTTTGTGTTGTGCAGAGATGTCAGCCCCTCCTGCTCCGAGTCCAGCGCAGGACAAGGACTGGGCTGGGGACAGCGGAATYGGAACCCTCCTTCTCTTTGAGATAATGGAAAGTCACAGGGAGGTATTATTCAGCTTTGGGGCATGAATAAATCATTACAGGTGTGAATTATTCAGGCCTCAGCCCTCCACATGTGCTCTTTTCAGACTTCAGCAGCAGCATGCCGACTGTGAGGGGTTTCTTCCCCAACATTTCAGGTCTATGTCAGGCTGATGAGCCCAAGCGTTCAAGATTAAAAGAATAATTAAAAATCCAGTAGTAAAAAGCTGCTCGAAAGTGCTGTGACACCTCAGGCTGGCACTGCAGTAACCAGGCAATGTCTGTGCTCCATGAGATGTCCACAGGTTATCACAGCRTGGGATGGGAATGAAGAGTGGCTCAGGAAACTGGGAGCAGAGGTTGGAGGGAAGAACTGGAATGATGGGCACAGAATCAATACAGGAACCAACCCAGCCTTCTGATAACCTGTGTCTAACACAAACATGGGTATAACCTGGATTTCTCAAATGCCAATAAGCAATTCTGGTAGCACTTAGGAGGATAAATCAAAATTTTTAGCTTTGATCTGTGCTGTGAGATCTGTGGCTTTGCCCTGTGGTACTTTTCCAAAATCCTGTTTATTTAYGAGCTGAAATGGGTTGAATTAAGAGAAGAGCTGGTTTGCAGTGATGAGAAGGATGGCACTGTTAGAGCTGGTGAGAGTGATCACTGTTAGAGTGACGACTTTAATGTCAGAGTCCAAATCACCAAGCCTGGGGCCCAGGAGAGCAGGGGCAGCCAAAAACCCCAGCTACTGCCAGGTAATTTCTGTGAAGAGCAGCAGCTCTGGGTGGGTTGCAAGGGTTATAATCAGACCATAGATTAATCAAACCAAAGATTACTCAAACCATGGCTTAATCTTCACCATTCCAACCCCGACTAGGAGGGAGAAAAGTCCTGTGTTGAACAGCCAGGAAATGGCTGGTTCGTCCYGCACAGGAAATGAGTCACCCCAGAGCATCGGGAGGAGCCGTGGGGACAGGGAAGTGCTGAAATAACATGGACGGAGACAGCAGAAATGCACAGGAGTCTCTTGTGTCACGGATTAAACAAAAGATGTAAAATGGGAGCTCTTCTGACTCTGCTTCAAATTTGAAGTTCACGTAGGTGCYTGAAGCTGTGAAAGGGGAGCTCGGAGTGTGCAATAGCAACACGAACCATGCCCAGGTCAGCTCTCCTGCCTTGCAG